AGAACAACCTTTCATGATCCAGGCACAGGAAATGTTGCACTTCCACCTTGAAAGTCTGCGCGCTCGAGAATCCTCGCAGCCTTGTTCGCAGTTGGTTCCAAATGTTTATATACACAATTAAGCAAAAACGCGAGCGTAGTTTCTTCCTTGCTCTCAGCGGTGTAATAGTACTACTTCTGTTTCTGAGGTAATGTTCTGTTCCAGCTCTCCGCTCAAGGCTGGATGTCACTAAGCCCAACTTTATGTATTACATTGTGCAGGAAGCATAGGTTAAGGACAATACGTTGCAGCCACAGCGGTTTAGAACTACCTTGCACTGTCAGCGATATCCACTGAGCTGTATTCGATCACAACAATAACTGGTCATGTGGACTGTGCGGTTGTTGGTCTGCTATCAAGACCAATTGCTTTATCGAGGGACTAGAAGGGACCTAATCTTAACCTAACGTATTTTGACTGGGAAGGTTGGCTCTGATTTGCCCTGGCTAGTTAGTGCAGTTTGATTATCTGGTCTCTATGGGCATTGTATGAAACTAGACAAACCGCGGGCTGATCGACTTAGAGCGGAGACACAGTTATCGCGTCGAGTCATCAAGCGCTGGAACTCTCTTCCAAAAAATGTTGTCAAGGAAACTACGGTTAAGGGGTTTGAGCGCAAACTAGATGCTCTTGGGTGGCAACACGAAACCTTCCTTTTCCCGACTAATTCCCATATTCATACCTCCATTCTATATTCTGTAGGTTTCCTCAATCTCGGTATTATACACATTTTTTAATTGCTTTCCCGTACACTTACGATACGATGTTTCTTCTCTTACTTACTTCACGCAACTGGCATAGCAGGGACAGCTAATGTAAGGAACTTGGGTATTAAATTTGCAGACCGTGGTGTTTTTCGGCTGTTTTCGTTTTAGACCCATCAAGCAGTAGAAGCATTCCTAGCAACTCCTGGATCAAGGACCTGCGCAAGCAGGAACACTTACGGGATTCATCCTAGCATTCCAGTCCCACCAGAAAATAATGAAAAAATAACCATCTACAATTACAACCTTGGATTCAGAGTTGCCACTTGTTTTTATTCTTCCTCCCTCAATGGCTCGTTAGGACATCATAACAAAATGTTTTACCGAGTAGTTAACAGATGGAATAAAGCTCATTATGATTTAGTGGGATGTGAGTTTATAAAAGCCTTCAAAAGGGGCTTAGATGAGTTTTGGTCTTTTTCCAGATATTTTGTAATTGCATTGGTATTTATAGTTCATTTTAATGCTGATACAGGAAAGTGATTTTCAGAAACGTCACTGAATCCAATGCCGCTCTTCCCACCGATTGCATGCTTGATGATCTTGGTTGGCTTAAAGTTTGCGTGACCGGGCTTTTACCACCAGGTTTCCCTGGCGTTACTGTCAGGAATCTCATCAGACTAGGGAACGTTCCGGTTGGTCAAACAAGTCCTTGACCCCGTCTGCTTAGGGTGGTCCTCTCTACCCCAAAAGAGCGCAGGGCCTTACTGAGATTTGCCTTCAAGCTCAAAGGTACCAACGTTAGTGTGCAACCAGACCTTCAGTTAGCGGATAGGTTAAAGTTAAAGGAAACCATCATAGACCTAAAAGCCCGGCGTGCAGCTGGCCAACAAGGTCTCCGATTGGTGGGTTTTCAGGTGGTCAGCCGGCGGACCTTTTCCGCCCTGCCAGAACCTGTACTACTTGCGCACGACCCAGGGCTGGTCGTGCCGAAGTCCTCTAAGTAGTACTTAGTAACGTGCGTAGCCTGAAGAACAAGATGTGCGAGGTGGATCTGCTCGTAGACAAATCTCGTCCAGATATGCTTGCTTTCACTGAAACCTGGCTGTCTGAGGAAATCGCAGATGGCGAAATATATCTGCCTGGATACGCATTGTTCCGCACTGACGGCTCCATTGGCCGTCAAGCGGTGGTGTAGCTCTTTATGTGGGTTAGCACATCGACGTACTGAGGACCAGCGTTTTTCAGTCTCTCGACAAATCTGTTGAGGCACTCGCAGTCTTGATTTGCGCTTCCTCGGTTCAGTTTACGGTCGTGTTAGTGTATAGAAGCTCTATGAACACCTCCAATGGAATCATGGAGTTTATACGCACTCACTCTGCGAACAAGTGTCTGGTGCTGGGAGACTTCAACCTCCTAGAGGTTTGTTGGAATGATCCATCTTGCAGTTCTTCTCTGGAATCGTTCGGTACAGAACTGCTGGACATAACGCTGCAGGTACCACTACACCAGTTCGGGGACCATCCCACTAGGTACATGAGCAACCAGCATCCGTCCATTTTAGATCTTCTTTTGCTAAGTCACTTGACCTTGTAAATGACATGAAATACGACTCGCCTCTTGGCGCTAGCGATCACGTTTGCTTGTCTTTCCAGTGTACCCTTATCAGGTCTTGCCAAGCTACTACCAGTTGGTATCCGAACATTTGGGCCGCGGACTTCCAAGTGATGCGGGATAGAGCTAGGTCATCGCCTTGTGTGATACCTGAGACCGACACTGTTCGCATAGCCTGGGAAAAGCTTAAGGCACACCTCGTCGACATTTCTGCCTCTCACGTCCCACTGGTAAAAAGAAGGGAATCGAGAGCGCAGCCTCCGTGGATAGATCCCGCGGGGAAGGGCCTGCTAAAGAAGCGGTCTAGATGCTGGCGAGCGTACCGAACAGCTTTGTGGAACAGCACGTTTGACAAGTATCGGTTGGTTCGAAATGAGTGCAAGCTACATCTTAAATTGGCCCGGCTTCAGTATGAAAAGGGCTTAGCTAATACTGCTTCGAAAAATCCCAAGAGATTCTTCGCTTACGTTAAACGACGCTGTGGTACCAACACGCCCATTCCACCATTGCTTCGAGGAGATGGGACCCATGTCTATAGCGACTAGGACAAGGCATGCGTGCTTGGTAAGCAGTACTCAAGCGTCTTTGTCCGCGAGACAAATACGCCATGTAAAGAGTTAGCTCCAAGGGTCCCTGAGAACTGTTGTCTGTAACGCAGTCCCAAGTTCGGTTGCTAAAAGAGGTGAACCCAACTAAGGCTTCTGGGCCAGATTCTGTTCATCCAAAATTGTTGCACGAATTGGCAGGGGAACTCAGTGGACCTCTGACTTGTGTGTTTCAGAAGTCACTCAACAGCTGTATCTTGCCTACCGAATGGAAGGAGGCTGTTGTCTGCCCGATTTTCAAGTGCGGTGACAAAGACCTACCGGCTAATTACAGGCCCGTCAGCTTGACTAGCGTGGTCGTTAAGTTACTTGAAAAATTAGTACGAGATACAGTGGAGAACCATATAAATAGGTTTAACCTGCTTAGCGTCGAGCAACATGGTTTTCGCAAAGGATTTTCGTGTCAGATGAACTTGCTGGTAGCTCGTGAGTGCTGGGCTGAAGCCGTAGACAGTGGACATGCGGTGGATGTGGTGTTCATTGACTTTGCCAAGGCCTTTGACACTGTCCCCCATTCGCGACTCTCACTGAAGTTGGGGTCGTATGGAATAGCTGGTCGCGCTCTCCAGTGGGTGTGAGCTTTTCTGGATGGACGGGAACAGTGTATTCGTGTGGGAAGTAGTCTTTCGTTTCGACAGGCTGTACTTAGCGGCGTGCCGCAAGGCTCTATCCTAGGTCCGCTGCTGTGCTCAGTCTACGTGAATGACTTGCCGGAGGAGCTTGAGGTACAATCGCTTTTATTTGCAGATGACCTAAAGCTCTGGAATATTGCTGATATCCCTGGAGATCCTATGGCTCTTCAACGAGCTCTGGATAGACTCTGGGAATGGTCTGTCTTGTGGTTGCTGCCTATAAACCGGGCAAAGTGTTCAGTGCTGCGTATCGGAGCGTCTGATTCCTCCACAAGTTATGTGCTCGATGGGACTGTACTTCCTCACGTGACTCATCAGGTTGGTCCAGGTGTCGTCCACTGTTCCACATTACACTCTGGAGACAACTGGAAGAAGGGTTCCGGACCTTGTGCTTTATCCGTCGTTCTTTTGGGACCCTAACCGCTGATGTGTTCGTGAAGATTTTCTCAGCGTTTGTGCGACCCCACCTAGAATATTGCGTCCAGGCCTGTCCACCATGCCTTGTCCGGGACAAAATGGCACTAGAAAGGGTGTTGCGTGTCGGTACTAGGTTGGTCAAGGGATTACGAGGGCAAACGTACCCCGAACGCCTACTTAGTTTGGGGATGCAGTCAATGCACTATCGAAGAATTAGAGGGGACCTAATCTTAACCTACCGTATTTTGACTGGGAAGGTTGGTCCTGATTTGTCCATGCTATTTAGTCCTGCTAGATTATCTGGTCTTCGCGGGCATTGTATGAAGCTGGACATACCGCGGTCCGATCGAGTTAGAGCGGAGACACGCTTATCGCGTCGAGTCATCGAGCGCTGGAATCTGCTTCCAGAAAATGTTGCCAAGGAAGCTAGGGTTAAGGGGTTTGAGCGAAAACTAGATGCTCTTGGGTGGCTACACGAAACCTTTCCGTTTTCCTGACAAATTCCCATCTTCCTACTTAGATTCTATTTTCTTTACTATTCCTCGCCATTGGTATTATTCTCTTCTTTTAACTGATTTTCCCTACTCTCTTATCTTCGATTCTTCTCTCTTACTTACTTCACGTAACTGACATAGCTAGTACAGCTAATGTAAGGAACGTGGGCATTAAATTGGTGGACCAGGGCGTTTTTCGAGTGTTTTCGTTTTAGACCCATCAAGAAGTCGGAGCACCCATATCAACTCCTGGATCGACGACGCGCTCAAGAAGGAACACTTACGGGATTCATGCTATCTTTCCAGTCCCACCTACTTGAACTTGAAAAGATTGCCCTTGTTCTTGCTTAATTAATTTGCGGAAGCACGAAGTCAATCTAACGTCGAAGTGCCGGTGGCCGTTTCACTTACCGGCACAAGAAACAGGACTCTCATTAGACGAAAGCCACTATCGTCTGTTCTATCTGACCTCAACTGATCTACAAGTTGCCTTACCCAAATACACAGCCAGTTTTCATCGGATTGTGCTTCCTTACATTGGACAATCCGATGGACTAGTGGCACGCTACTCGGAAATTGCTTGCCTCGCCCTTGAAACTGCATTTGACTGCGGGTAGTGCTCTGTAGCCGTCAGTGACGTAGCTGAACTGCTCCTCAACTTAGGACCGTCACA